TTATCATGCTGCACCCAAACTACTAGTCTGTGAACTTGCAGGGCAGAATTTTGAACCAAGCAAAGTTGTTGATATCTTGTGCCAAAACAATGTGAATGTCAGAATGTCTATTCGTGGAATTGTCTACCATGTCCATGGAAATCATTTTGTGTCGAGAATCATCACAAATGAAAGTGAAGTCTGGTATAATGATGGAATGATCAACCATGGTCAATCAAGCTTGGAAGGTAAACTTGCTGGGTTTACTCCAAGAGAACTTGTATCAGTGCCAGGTGGAACTGCTGTATTTGCAGTGTACACCCGACTTGGATAGCCTATGGATCTAGTTAGTTTTTGCATCTTGTTTTGTGGGTTTTTCTCTTTAATCTTCAACCCTGCTTGACAGTGGCAACTTTTCCCTGCATCTTGGTTTTTTCCCAAGTGGTTTTACCAGTCAGGTTTTAATGTCTCCCTGTGCAGCTGTTCAACTTATTTATTAGTTTACCTGTCATGTATTATATAGAATATCTAGTCTAATTGTAAAATGATATTTCTCTCATCTGGGCCTGTGGGGTGAAACAGGAAAGGTGTGGTCCTGGTGATATTTTTTGGTTTGCTGAGTTAGATTGAAAAAAATCAACAGAATAGTTCTTTCATTATATATCTCAAATGTAATTAGGTACTTGATAATGATAATGTATGATTCATTCTATCAGGATTGAAAAAAATTGGGGGACTCGTATCTGCCACCGGAACGGTTGGCCTCTATCCCACTGGTAGATATTCGTCAACCAAATGAATGTTTTCCTACATAAATTATTTCCATAGACAGTTTCTGACAAACTCTATCCGGACAGCAGGCATCGAAGATTTAAAAAGCCATCAGTGGGAATATGGAAGGCGTCGACCTGGGATCGAACCAGAGCAAGCCAGAGAAGTCTTTGATCCAGCGTCGAACCAAGGCAGCCAGAGAAGGCTCTGGTCAGGTTCTGCAACCACTACACCATCAACGCATGAACACTGACTACAGAAACGTCATCAAGGCATGAGATCATTGAAATGCACCTTTGACATAGCCACAGTCCCTTCAACGAAGCGTTTGGATTTGAGGATGCTACATATGTTTACATTGTAGATACCAGGTATAAAAAATGGCCTGACGCGCCAGAAAGAAAAGACTCGGTATAGAATTATGTAGGACAGCTCTATAGAGTTGGAAAAGCAGCTGGGAGTCGGGAGTAGGTCCTCAGAGTCCGAAAAGGCTACCCAAGCTGGTAACATTGAGAGACGATGCGACTCCAAGGGCATTCCCAATCAAAGGAATGACGAGCTTAGCAATAGTGCTGACGACACTGCCGAGGGCTGGGTTACCCAGGACATTCGAGATAAGGTCCGCGGCGCCTTGGCTACGAAACACCTCAATTAGAAGTAGCGGAGGAGTACATGTAGATACATTAAAATGCACAGGGCAATCGCCCTGAGCCTGCGATTTAACTTTTAGGGCGACCTTTGACGTTTTAATGCGGCATCCAGCAGGAGCTGCAGGGCGGATTTGCGGGTTTTTGATTATTGAATGGTCTGGTTCTGCTGTACTAGGCAGTTTACATCAAAACTCAATCGGCAATGCGTCAAAATCAGGCATTTAGTTTGGTTGTTTCGCTCCCTTTCCTTGCCTCAAAACTCATCCAGTGCCTGGGTTTTGATGCAGCCTCCTCCTGATGAAACATTATAAAAGCTCAGAATTTGGCTCGAGCACCATTGTTGTGCTCTCCTAGAACTGAATATGAGACACTCTCATCTGGAGCTCCGAGTTAAAACATGGAGGTTCAGACTGCAGAGTCATAGATTCACTAATGTTGGGCTGCCAGGACAATGGATTCCGGGAGATGGTCAGCCCTGTGGTTGACTTTCTGTACTCGGCCACAGGTATTCTAGCGCTAATCGAACCCAGGAACGTCCGGGTCCCTCACGGTCTGTATGTAGTAAGTCCAAAGTACCCAAGTCATGATTTGCGCTGTGACTAAAATATTTCATGATCACTTCATTTTTCTAGCAATGGTACAATCAATTAATATTTGGAATTACTTGGTCAACTCTCTGCTTTTCCTTGGTGTGTCCATATGGGAGTGGACGTTCGGTTGACATTTGATCTCCATTTTGATCTGTGGCTGTGTAGGCGGGAGCTCCGCCTGTTACGGCACAATCCCGCTTAGCGATCTTGCTCGAATACCAGGGGCCAAGCAAGTGGCGCTTGCACTTCAAGCAAGTCCACAACACATTGATAATACTTTGGCAAATAACCGCCAGATCTATCAGACCCCAGCACAGAGCTATAGATCAAATATGTTCTACTGATGAAATACAGACAATATTGCACAGCATGGGGCAAGATCCAACAGTCCAGGAATGTTCTATGCCATGGAAAAATTATGGCATTGAAATCACAGATGTGTCCCGCAGCCCTGCAACTTGACGATGGGCATATTTGACCGAGCGGGCATTGCGCCCTGAGGACGCCAACTTTCTACGAAAACTCCGTTGAAGGCCAACGGCAGACTCAGGAGTCGGCGGGACCTTTCAAAACTTGAGATGCCAGGTGGCCTTCTTCGAATCTCACAGCTGAAGGCACTGGGTGATGCTTTTCTGTTTGTATCCTACCAATACCGCCATTGAGACCACAGTCTGTATATGCTCCAGGGTCATATTCCTGGTTAGAACCTGACAAAAATATGAAAATGTCAAAAACTGTATATAAACCTTATCTGAACATGAAGGGACAAGTGAGAAGGCCTGGTTAGGTGTCTGAATGACAGTACCAGCTTTGCGACATATGAAATGACATGATGACTAAGCCTCAAATGCACCGATTCTTCATTTCTCTGGAGCTTTGGAACTTGAGAGCAGGCCTCAATCAGTCAGTGAATCATGTATGTACAAGGCAATATCAAAAATGGATCGAGTTTCACCGAATACCTTGCTCCATTGCGGTAGAGTCCTCCGAGGCAAAACGGACACGTACACTATGCGCAACAAATACGAGCTTGACTGTGATGAGACTGCAAAATCACACATATATACCTTCTAATGAACGAGTTTGAGTCTTGAATCAGCTTCTTGGGGTCCTCAATTTAGTGTGACAGATGTCCTCCACAGGACTCTTCCACAAGTCCAGGACTATTCTCCATGAATTTCTGATTAGACAGGCTTGAGCTATTCATGGCATTGTGAACAAAAGCTTACATGTAAAGTACTGAATGGAACTGACATGTGAACGGGAGCTGTTGACAGAAAAAGAATGAATGGCCCGCCATAAACCATAATTGTCGGAAGGCCTGTCAAAAGTCATACTGAACAGGATCTACCTATTGTATCATCTGTTCGACTCCATGATCTGTATCAACTGCAAGGGGCAACCGGATCAAAAAAAAAATACACGACGTACATTTATTTTTTTCAGCCCTTTTCAGCCCGACCCCCCTGCCCCCCCTCCGTGGGAATTACCTTATATGGCAACTACCTGAGCTGCTGGGCCTTCTGGGTCTGCCATAGAGAGAGCTCCATCCAGGACTGCACTATCAGTCATTTATTAGGTATTTTAATATATTCTATGCCTGTTGGGCACACAGAACCATTGAGGTATGTGAAACCAAATCTGTGGCGCTCTTCCAGTCACTAATAACTGTCAGGTATTGGGTGCTTAGGTGTACCTAGTACCTGACACATCTAAAGACATGGGAATTCCTGGAGGATTTCTCTGATTAACTAGCAGCCATCCGGACCTGATACCATGACCTGCAAAAATTTTCTTCGCCTCCGGCGGTGGACCCCCCTCCCTCCGACCCGGTATCCGGGATTTCCGGCCCGGTCGCCCCTTGATCAACTGTCAACATTTTTGCGCCACAAACTTGGTCGGAAGCCGTTGAAGGTTTGCCGGAAAAGACAACTATTAGAACGTTAAACTGGGAGCTTCAGCACAATCAACAACTCTTAATGAAATACCACAATATTGGAGAATCAAGATACAACAGACCATTTCTAAGCCATTCTAAGGAAAGATGAAAATACATTGGAGGAAGCACCGTAAAAGCGGGTCAGGGCAGAATGCCGCCTTTTATCATGAAACCTAGGCTGTATCAAAACCTGGTTGAGCGAGTGGTTTTGACACGAGCAATGAGAGCGAGGGAGCTAATTGAGTGTTCGTTTTGACACAGGCCCAGGGACCCGATAATACCGAACAAACCGAAATGGCAAAAGCCGACCCGTCATGCATGCGGCCTTGTCGAGAGCCTGTCGCGTTAAAACGTCAAATGTCGCCCTAAAAGTTAAATCGCAGGCTCAGGGCGATTGCCCTGTACATTTTAACGTATGTGCCTCTACTGTTGTGGACGCCGCTGATATTCGGAATGGAAATATCTGGTTGCCGTCTTCGGAGAAGCAACTAATTAGGTCGAGGCACTGTCGAGGAGTTCACCGAATTTGATCCTTGCGTCGACGTCTGGAAATGGCATTCAGTTTTTGAGACGACGTCCACTGGGCTCTGGCAGAAACTGGAAGACGAGGCAGAAGCAAAGGCTGGTGATGATCCCCGTGGGAAAGCTACGGTGTACGTCACTTTTGACAGCTCCACACTACGAGCGCGCGCGTATCTCTCGTGAGATTGAAAAAAAGCGTCTGCCAAGCGAAATGTGGAGTCCAATAATATACAATTTTTGAATATCTTTACGGTAGCTAGAACAGCTACGCTTGAGATAGCCGCGTGAAAAGGGATGACACTCCAATCATGACCGAAATCTAAAGACAAAAAAGCGGTCAGTCTACGACGCTGTCAGACGGTTCTGTGGCGCAATGTGAGTTCATTGTCTGGTATTTGAGCAAGCTGACTCGACAATACGTATCTCGACACGGCATTCCAAGCACTGAGTTTGTGTGGCATTTGATTTGACGAGGCACTGATTTAGCTCGAGCGTCCGCTTCTGGCAGACAGACACCCAAAATTCAAAAAGGACCATATTCTCATCACACGCGTGGAGCTGGAATCGAACCAGGGCAGGCCAGCGAATCAACGATCCGGCCGTGCAACCATTGCACTATTAACACATGGACACAGCTCACAGAAACGTCATAGAATCAGGCATGCGAAGTAGCTTCGCCACAACCTCGGACTCAGTTTGAGATTCTCGGGCTTGCATCAAACGACTTGATAGATATTCGTCAACCAAATATATATCATTTCCGTATTCAGTTTCTAGCGAACAGTCCGGACAGCAGGCATCAAAGATGCAAAAAGGAAAACATCTTCGCTATTGTAGGCGTCGAGCTGGAATCGAACCAGGGCAAGCGGGATCGAACCAGGGCAAGCCAGAGGCTTTGATCTGACTATACCATCAACGCATAAAACTGACTACAGAAACGTCATCAAGCACCTTTGACACAGCCACAGTTACCCCAGCGCGACCAACACACTTACCCCAGCGCGACCCAAAACGTATGAACATTGCGTTTGGATCTGAGGATGTTATGTTTACATTGCAGATAATGCTATATCTACATTGCAGATACTTACTTACACCAGGTATAAAGAGAAATGGCCCGACGCGCCGGAAAGAAAAGACTCGGTACATATAGAATTATGTCTAGAGTTGGAAACGCAGCTGGGACTCGGGAGTATGACTCTGGAGTAGGACTCCGGAGTAAGGTCCTCAGAGTCCGAATAGGCTACCCAAGGTGGTAACATTGAGAGACTGCGACTCCAAGGGCATTGCACTGAGTTTGTGTGGCATTTGATTTGACGTGGCACGGTGATCAGGTCGGAGCAATCACCGACGAGCGCCTCGCGTTGACGCTATTCAAATTTGATCTCGGGCGAGCGCCTTTATCGTCTCAGAGATGTGCCAATCAAGTGAATAAATATGCTGATTTAGCTCAAGTGTCAGTTCTCGCGAACTCTGGGAGACGGACGGAGATCCAAGATTCAAAAAGAAGGATTCGATTACACCAAGCATCGACCTGGAATCGAACCAGGCAATCGACGATCTGGCTGTGCAACCACGACCATTACACTATCAACGCATAAATGGAGCGCAGGAAACGTCATGAAGTCAGGTATGCGGCGTCATACAATCAGGCATGCGAACGCCACAGCCACAGCTACCTCGGACCACAAACGAAGATTCTCAGGCTTGCATCAAATGACTTGATAGATCATTCGTCAACCAAATATATATCATTTCCGTATTCGGTTTCTAGCGAACAGTCCGGAATTCAGTTTCTGGCGAATACTGTCCGGACAGCAGGCATCGAAGATGTAAAAAGCAGAGCATCTACGCTATTGTAGGCGTCGAGCTGGAATCGAACCAGGCAATCGACGATCTGGCTGTGCAACCCCGACCATTACACTATCAACGCATAAATGGAGCTCAGGGAAACGTCATACAATCAGGCATGCGACGTCATATAATCAGGCATGCGAAGTAGCTTCGCCACACCTCGGAATCGGTATGACCAAAAACGAATACTCTCCGGCCTGCATCGAGCGACTTCACAGATGTTTATTTGCCAATCAATTGTACATAGACTATTCTCCTAGTCAGTGCTGGCGAACTGTCCGGACAGCAGCATCGAAGATTTAAAAAGCCATCAGTAAAAATATGGCAGGCTTGTAGGCGTCGAACTGGAATCGAACCAGGGCAAGCCAGAGGCTTTGATCTGACTATACCATCAACGCATAAAACTGACTACAGAAACGTCATCAAGCCATGAGGTGCGCCTTTGACATAGCCACATTTACCCCAGCGCGACCAAAATGGTACGAACATTGCGTTTGGATTTGAGTGCGAACATTGCGTTTGGGTTTGAGGATGCTATGATTACATCGCAGATTAATGCTATGATTACATTGCAGATACTCACACCAGGTATAAAGAAAAATGGCCCGACGCCCCGGAAAGAAAAGACTCGGTATAGAATTATGTCTAGAGTTGGGAACGCGGTTGGGACTCGGGAGTGGGACTCGGGAGTGGGACTCGGGAGTAGGACCCGGGAGTAGGACTCGGGAGTAAGGACCTCAGAGTCCGAAAAGCCTACCCAAGCTGGTAACTTTGAGAGACGATGCGACTCCAAGGGCATTCCCAATCAAAGGAATGACGAGCTTGGCAATAGTGCTGACGACACTCCCGAGGGCGGGGTTTGCCAGGACATTCGAGATAAGCTCCGCCCAGGACATTCAAGATAAGGTCCGATGCGCCTTGGCTACGAAAACCCTCGATTAGGATTATCAGTGATTAGGGAGTAGGACAGATTCGAGCAAGGGAATGATGCTGGCTTTGTCCAAAGAGGCGGTAGCATCCATGGTGGCTCCGAGACCACCGAAGACGTTCTGTACTTTAGTCAATACGATGATTCCTGAAGATGAGACGACAAGGGTACCGTGAGTAGATCGAGGATGGTGCTGACGAAGAACCGATATCGAAAGAGGCATAGACGCCACCGCCATCATGAACCTCTCACAGGTCACCGAAGAACCATCTTTGACGAACTTACTTATTATTCCAACAGAGGTTCAGATCAGGTTGTAACGAGGGGCTGATTCCGCTGCCTGTTATTGGCATTGAAGGCCTCTCTGAAGTTCACGATTTACACAACGCTCCACCCATCTCCTCCACCATCTCCGAATTGCAGCGTCAGTGGATAGACCCTGCGCAAGACCCGGTCGGTGGGTGAGTGATCTGCAGCTCCACCGGCGATACGGTCGTGTTGTCAAGTACAATCGTTTGGGATCCGGTTGAGATTGGAGAGAAAATGGGCTCGGTGGGAGCGAGAGAGAAAGATCCGATGAGGCTTGAGAACCGGTATCGGGAGGAGAGATTGAGGAAGAAGAGGAAGAGGAACCTGTGATCGATACTGTGCTCGAGACCCCGGCTCCGGACGTGTTTTCACGCTTCCCGGTCGAGTTTAATCATTTGCGCTCGGACGATTTCGCTAGCGTCTTTGTTTGACAGAATGCGTCGTCTTCGTTTGACGGAATGCGATATTTTACTCAATAGCTTTCGCAGCTCCAATGTACTACTGGTCGCCTTATTCAGTTCTGTGGCGCAATGTGAGTTCAGGAGTGTGGCTGGTATTTGAGCGAGCTGATTCGACAATACGTATCTCGACACGGCATTCCAAGCACTGAGTTTGTGTGGCATTTGATTTGACGAGGCACGGTGATCTGGTCGGAGCGATCACGAGCGCCTCGCGTTGACGCTATTCAAATTTGATCTCGGGCGAGCGCCTTTGTCGTCTCAGAGATGTGCCAATCAAGTGATTGCATTGCTGATTTAGCTCAAGTGTCAGTTCTCGAGACGGACATCCAAGATTCAAAAAGTACTTTTCGATTATACCAAGCGTCGACCTGGAATCGAACCAGGCATCGATCTGGAGTCGAACCAGGCAATCGACGATCTGGCTGTGCAACCACTACTACACTATCAACGCATAAATGCAGCTCACGGAAACGTCATACAATCAGGCATACAATCAGGTATGCGACGTCATATAATCAGGCATACGAAGGTAGCTTCGCCCCAACCTCGGACTCAGTATGACCACAGACGAAGATTCTTGCATCAAACGACTTGATAGATATTCGTCAACCAAATATATATCATTTCCACTTAGTCAGTTTCTGACGAACAGTCCGGAATTCAGTTTCTGGCGAATACTGTCCGGACAGCAGGCATCGAAGATGTAAAAAGCAGAGCATCTACGCTATTGTAGGCGTCGAGCTGGAATCGAACCAGGCAATCGACGATCTGGCTGTGCAACTACAACCATTACACTAACAACGCATAAATGGAGCTCACGGAAACGCCATACAATCAGGCATGCGACGTCATATAATCAGGCATACGAAGTAAGTAGCTTCGCCACACCTGGGACTCAGTATGACCACAAACGAAGATTCTCGGGCTTGCATCAAACGACTTGATAGATATTCGTCAACTAAATATATATCATTTCCGTACATAGTCAGTTTCTAGCGAACACCGTCCGGATAGCAGGCATCGAAAATTTAAAAAGCCATTAGTAAAAATATGGTAGGCTTGTAGGCGTCGACCTGGGATCGAACCAGGGCAAGCCAGGCAATCACCGATCTGGCTGTGCAACCACTACACCATCAACGCATGAACACTAACTACAGAAACGTCATCAAGGGATGAGGTGCACCTTTGACACAGCCACATTTACCCCGCGCGACCGACACATTTCCTCCAGCGCGACCAACACATTTACCCCAGCGCGACCCAAAACGTACGAACATTGCGTTTGGATTTGAGGATGCTATGTTTACATTGCAGATACTCACACCAGGTATAAAGAAAAATGGCCCGACGCGCCAGAAAGAAAAGACTCGGTATCGAATCTAGAGTTGTCCTACATAATTCGATACCGAGTAGGTCCTCAGAGTCCGAAAAGGCTACCCAAGGTGGTAACATTGAGAGACGATGCGACTCCAAGGGCATTCCCGATCAAAGGAATGACGAGCTTGGCAATAGTGCTGACGACACTCCCGAGGGCTGGGTTACCCAGGACATTCGACATAAGGTCCGCGGCGCCAACCTCGATTAGGATTATTATTAGGGAGTAGGACATATTCGAGCAGGAGAATGATGCTGGTTTTGTCCAAGGAGGCGGTTGGCGTTCATGGTGGCTCGAAGACGTTCTGTAGTCTAGTCAATAAGATGATTCCGGACGAGATCGACGATAGAACCGATATCGAAAGAGGCACTAGTCAGCGAAGCAGTTGGGGCGTCAGCAAAGAGCCCTTTGCATAGCGGTGTAACCGTGTCGACGGTCACATTGCCCGAAGCGAGAGCTTCTAAAATTCCAGTTCGCAAAAAAGCTGGGACAAGAGTAAGAAGCGTATCGGAGATGGGCACGAGTATCGAGTTCAAGTCTTTGAGAATGGTGGTGAGAGAAGCAGCGTCGATAGCGGCGACAGGAGCACGGGCGTCTCGGCTGGCGATAGCGGCAACAGCATCGACTTGGACTGGCGCAGCCAATGTGGAGGTTGAGAGACCGAGAGTGAAGAAAACAGCAAGGGCTTTAAACGAAGGCATTGGACCAAAAAATATTGTGGTTGAAGAACTGGTTCGGAAAAGACGGCTGGAAGGGAGAAAGACGACTGGAAGGGAGAAAGAGAAAGAACCGAGAAAACTGAACGCCGTTTTATAGATCGAATTCAGCCGCTGATATTCGGAATGGAAATATCTGGTTGCCATGTTTATCCGTCAACTAATTAGGTGGAGAGTTCACCTTCCGGCGTGAATTCGGTCTGTCTGGACATGGCATTCAGTTGTTTTAGACGAGTTTCGTAAACCTGACGTCCACTGGGCTCTGGTAGAAACTGGAAGACGAGGCAGAAGCAAAAGGCTGGTGATGGTTCGCGACCCATCCCTAGAGTTACACGGCTCGGCGTGGGAAAGCTACGGTGTACGTCACTTTTGACAGCTCCGCACTTTTCGACTTTCACGAGCGCGCGGCTACGCTTGAGATAGCTCGACGTGCTGCCGCGTGAAAAGGGATGACACTCGAATCATGACCGAAGACAAAAAGCGGTCAGTGCACGACGCGTCAGACGGGAAACCAGCGCGGATGCTGGAAATAATGTCCTCGGGGATGTATATGAGTGGGCGTGCGGATTCCTCGGTAGCGGTGAGGGTTGCGCGGCTCGAGGGAGGCCCATACACAGTGGTGCCGAGAAATGCCGAGCCGGCCAACTTGAACAATGCCGGCAGGTCTACGCTGTTGCCGCCAAGTCGCCTGGGGGTCGAATGTCAATTTCCTATTTGAGAACAGTAGTAAGTAGTAGTTTCTTTTCAGGATTCGCTGTACTTATTCTTTAAACCAATCCCTTTCGTCCTGAATCTCGATCCATTTCAAGAAAGATCGAGGTCGCGATGCGCCAGGTTTTGGGTGGGCTACGACCAGTTGGCTGGAGAAATGTGAACAAGACGCCTAATTGTGCCATGAGCGACGACTCTGTTATGCGATTCAAAGCACACCAGAGTTTTGCCCGAGATACTGCGAGAGCTGTTCGACCCTTTGTCCCGCAGAAAAGTTGTTTCCGCAGAAATAGAGGTGATTGGCAGGAGCTTGAACCTGCAGTAAAAGCGGAGCTTATGTGAGCAAGGCATGAGGCGAGCACAGCCTAATAAAAACTGTCAAACCGTGAGAACTCCGTGCCTGTAACTGAAGGCAGTGCTCACAAGGTCGCCGCGATGACTCCGGAAGCCGTAATGACACGCAGCCGCATCAGAGGAGTCATGATACATCAGCTGAGTCATCATGATGCAGGCGCGCATCATGAGGATCCTTGATGGACCCTGAAAATCCCCCACAGTACCACGGAAGCATGGAAATACATGGCTAGGAACCTCTGTTAGGCTTACTAAGAGCCTGAAACACCAAACAGACATTATTAAGCATGCAGGGCAGTCTTGAAACACTTGTAAGGTCTTGAATTACTTCAGCAAAAGGGAGTAATTTTAGACCAAAGTGTTATTAAGCTTTTCAAACAACCTTGAAACACTTGAACAGCTTTGAATTACTTCAGCACAAGAGAGTAATTTTAGACCAAAGTGTTATTAAGCTTTCCAAACAACCCTGAAACACTTGAACAGCTTTGGATTACTTCAGCAAAAGCTGTAAATTAAGGCACGTATGCTTAAATAATCTGTTTCAGCTGGACCCAAGCTAAAGGATCACTCCCCAGTACCTCCTACCAAAATACCCGAGCAGTATAGAACATGTTATAACGTGTTAAAGCGTGTCATGGGATAGTATGAGACAAGGAAATGTCCCAGAAGCAAAACAACACGTCATAAAGGTTTAGTAGTGGAATAAGGAATTTATTGAGGATTAATGAAGAGGGGAAAAGGAAGCAAGAAAGCACCATAAGAACTCATTGCTTACAAATGGTAAAAGCCAAAGTGTTTCAGATAAGTGTTTCAGCCAAGTCAACAAAGTGTTAGTCAGCATAAAAGTTATAATTAGCCAGACTTGAAACACTAGACACTTAGCAGGGCCATAACCATTAATAATATCTCAAGACTAGGTAAATTACGTAATATAGAAAAGTAGTATAAAAGGGCCAGGGTGCCCCAGCCAAAATATATCTTCTTTGCATCCCCCATCCAGTGGGCCAAGGTAAGGTCACCCTCAATATTCAACTGCAGTAGGGACCACAGTGGTTGCTTACTCTGTTGTAGTGTTGATTCAGCAAGCAGACTTACAGTAAGTCTGTTTACTGTCTGCTCATCGTTGCTCACAGTGACCAACATTGTTCAGACAATTTGCCAGATATTCAGTTCCAGCTTTCAGTAACAGTATTAAGACTTTGTTCAAGCTTCCTCAAGCTCGATCTCAGCCTTCTCAAGACCATTCAAGACCCAGAATCATTCAGTAACTGTATTAGAGAAACGATTTCTCTCAAGAACAAGACTCGTAAAGAAGCTATAAGCTCACAGAAAAGAAGCACTAAGCTCACCATTGTTGTTACCTGTATCATACTCGCCGCCATTGTCATAGGGATCCACGAAACCCTGAGAGACAAGCATGAAGACCTCAACAACCCTCATCAGCGATCCATAATCCCTCCTATTCACTAAGGAACAACTGGTAATTGTCATAAATGATCTACAGTAAACGGTCACTACAAGTATACCTAGCTCAACGAACAAACCTCAGACTAGTCCTATCGAGATCTAGTTGAGGGAAGTGTTGTATTTTTCGGCAAACAACCGAGGTACGCTACATTTCTGGAGCCCACCGCGAGGGAGCTATCTGTTCATCGTTAACCTTCACCAGTTCTTCCCTCTCCACCCATCTTTCACCGAGTTCCCTTTCTCCACCAGATCATACGGCGAAGCTATTGCAAAAATTTTCTCAGCCTCACAGACTTATCATTTATACGGTGGAGCTATTGCAAAATTTTTCCAGCTTCATACCCTTCACAGCCCCTATGGCGAAGCTATTGCAAAATTTTCTAAGTCCCTAAAAGACTTCGAATTTGAAAAGATCGTCACACTTCAGTAAGCAGTAACAGTGACATCTCACCTAATCATCTCATCAGTAATCAGCTTCAGTAATCGTCAAGTCATCGTCCACTGCTAAGACATCAACTAGTATCACTCATCAACAAACAACATCAAGTTAGTCATTGTTTAACTTGGTCAACATAAACATTGATCATCATCTAGCTTGGTCATCGTCAAGTTACATCATCATCAACTACATCTAACATCATAATGTCCTTCACTACTCCCATGGTAGACATCAGTTCAAGTAACCAGGGTGCGTCTACTTCTACTATGTATGGTAAAGGTCGAGCTCAACTTCTACCTTATCAATCAGAGTATGAACCAATGCCAGATAATCCACTAAACATCAGACGAAAGACTGATGCCCCTGCAAACTTCAGTTCGCCTGCTGAAACAGTATCAGAGATACCTTCAAGTGACTCTGACCTTATAAATTCACCTCACCTCCGCAACCAACCTGTATGCATCATCTCATCCAACACAGATGACGACGAACATGGACACCATAGACATAGGTCATACAGTCGTGGACGTTACCATGATCGTACACCTGAAATGATGCCCTTTCCACCAAACAAAGGTGCACCAAAGAAGTTCAAGGGTGACTACACCTATGTTCGCAAGTTCCTTCGACAATACGTTCAACTATGTTGAGCATACAATGTCGTCACTGATGACGAGAAGTGTGAGAAACTTCTAGACTATGTTGGACGGACCGAAGAAAAGTTCATCGAGTCCAACATCAATTACATCAACAGAGATTGGGACAGTCTCGAGAAAGACCTCTTGCACTTCTATGATGCTGAGAGAGTCGACACTCGATACAATGTCAAAGACTTGACCAAGCTCACACGCAAGTGGGAAAAGAGAGAGATGGGTAACCTCGAGACCTGGAAACAATATAATCGCCAGTTCAGGACCATTGCAGGATGGTTACTCGCTAAAGACATGATCACCATTCGACAAAGAGATGGACAGTTCTTCATGGGGATCGAACGTGACCTCAGAGAGAAACTCCAAGAGCGCTTCATTAACCAAAATAGAGGTGCTACTCTTACCGATCCCATTCCTATGGCCACTGT